TTTGGCTATATTTCAATTAAATATACTTTATATAGATCTTTACAACGTGTCTAAGGGAAAATCTTTCAACTAGAGTAAATTATTTTAATATTTTCATCGCTATTTAGATAGACGTGACGGTATTGCGTGACACAAACTCAACCTTCATAACTCGGGAACCACACATCGAAATGACTCGAGATTTTTTCTTGTGACTTATAACACTGATTTCTAAAACATATTTGAGAAATTCCTTTATACGATCTATAGTTTAGATTTTGATGTTTTGATGACGTCATGTGAAAACCAGCAATTGTTATTAGTAGAATTCTTCGATTGCACGTTACGTCATCGCGGCCATGTTGGTGCCATTTAACAAAAGATTTCTCATTAGCATCCATTGTTAACGGCACCACAATGGCCGCCATTTTTTGTCTTTTGACTCTTGGGAATGTTTGCAACCCATCAATATGCAACGTAGTAGCTCAACATGATCATTTATTATAATTAATTAATTAATTAATTAATTTATAGATATTTATTCTTAACAGCAATTGTATAATCTCAAAAACGCATTCCCATGCCACTTCTTCCAACAGCGTTTCGACACAAGTTGCAAAAGGGTTTAAACGGTGCAACGAAGACGCAATCGTTGCCAAAATTAGAAACGAATTCTACTTTCGGCAACGATCCCCTTCAAGTTATCTCGCAACATTGTTTTTTCAAATTGCGCTGTAGGTTACACTCTGCAATGCTCCATACAACTTGTGGCGCAACGCCTTTGCAAGACAAGTTGCAGAGAAAATCGCTCCGTGTAATTGCGCCCCTGATAGTAATAGTTTGGTATAGTTATATAGCGCTGAAATAAGAGGCTGGTTGGGAGCAGCACAAGAAAAAAGCCCTGAAACTATAAACTTGGGCGTAGCTAGGTTACTACTTGCAAAAGATCGAAGATTTCGTTCTGGGTACATGAATATCTATTCATAAGATTTGATATAGAGGATATTACATGGGCGCGCGGAGATACGAAATTTATCTTCGAGTGTTGAAAAGATCTCTCACAAGTGAGCGCAGCGAACGAGTGAGAGATTTTCAACACGAGAAGATAAGTTTCGTATCTCTAAGCGGCCATGTAATATTTTGTTTATTATATAATTATCAATGAAGTATGTTTTGGCTTTTTCAGGCAATTCTTTCCGTGTATTTTTGAATAGCCATCGCAATGGTGTTATTTTCACGCGTGAAAATAACATGTTATTTTCACGTGTGAAGATATCGATTTTTCGAAATAGAGAAAAATAGATATTTCATTGGTAATTATATAATAAAATGCTTTATTATTTTTATGGCGCAAATTTCCATACAAACACTACTATTATAAAAAATCAGCACATTATCGTGAAATTAATCTTTTGATGATTTGCCTATGAATCAGTGTTGAAAATAATTACCATTAATTATTTAAAGGAAAAAATTGAAATTGAGAGAGACTGGTAAGGAATATCCATATATGGTCTAATTAGAGCGAGCGATTGTTACGTAATCGATGACATAAACAAAGGATAATTTGATTTTCGAACCTGTTGGAAAGTTGTGTTGGAAGAGATAGGAGCTAATTTCATGCGATAGAGAAAATAATTGACAAAAAGCCGAGTTGAGCATTGAAAATTTAAAATTTAGTCTACGAGTCACTGATGTAGTGCCTTGAAGGCATGGCATCTGCACTTGCAAAGTCGGAAACCCGACCGGCCGGACGGACGCTTCCGTCGAGCTCGGCCCACGGCAGACCGTCGAAGATTCCAGTCCGCAGTGACACCTCTAGTGGCTCTGCAAGTGACGATTCCGACGATGGAGCCAAATCAAGTTTGAAAGCCAAAAGATATGGTAAAAGCAAAATACCGAGAGCTGTACCGGTAAAGAATGTTACCTGCTCTACCGAACATAGAACACTCGAGGAAAAACCCCAAAGAAGTGGATTGCAACAAAAACTATCATCTACTTCAAAGAATTCAAGCGCCAATCCTAAAGTTGCAGGAGCAAAGGCGTCAGGTAAAGAAGAGATAGCAAAGCTGCAAGGAGGATTGAAGCGCAAAGAACTTATTAAAGAGTCGCCCAGTTTTAACGCAGCCCGAAGCAACACGCGCACATCGGGAACACGACGAATGTCTTGGGGCATTCAAAAGAAGTCGACCAAGACTTCAAAAGTAACACCAACAACAGGAGAAAAGGCAAAGAAGGGAAGTGGTTTACCTGAGGAAGAGCAGGAAAAACCAAGACGAGGAACAACACCCAAAACATCGGCATCGAAGCATCCTGTATTTGGCAAAGTAAACAATGAAAAAGTGACATCGAAGGTACGTAAGAACTATAGCTACTAAAAATGTTAAGAATTATTTTGTTCGAAATAAATTCTAAGCATTAAAATCACAACCAAATAATTTTTTTTAAAGATATTTTTAAGTCGATAAAAGAAATATTTTTTAAACGAAATGTTTTAAGTCGCGATTGCTTTGTATGAACGTTATGAGGATTAATTCAATATTGACTAGAAAATGCTTTTGATTTCAAAACTAACTTTAATTTCAACAATATCTTTATTTTAAAAAATGATATAAAGGCCTTGTAGACTAGATTAAGCGTTTTTCCCTTCCAAAAATAAAAAATATATTGAGAAATATAAAAGTTCTTTTATCGATCGCCCTGCATGAAGCCTCCGTTGCTAAGACAGCGAACTAGGAATCATGGTTGCTAAGTCATCAGCAGCAAAGCGTTTCCTGATTGGTCATTTTATTTTGTAATTTCTTCTCATTGGTTGTAATAATTTGATTGACACATTAAACTTTTATGGTTTTGATTGGTTACCAGTGTTTGATTGACACACCTTTCAGTCATGGCTCCTGATTGGTTAAATTAGTTTGCCGTTATTACTGATTGGCTATTTCACTTTTGATTGGCATATGATAGCGAGAAAGCATCGGCGAACATCGGCGTCGACCGACGTAAGCGTCGACAGGCATCGATTTGGTGTCGACCTAGTTCGTTATCCCGAAAGATTAACGAAGGTTTCCGAAAGCTTACGCGAAACTCTACGAAATGGACCAGCGGTCATCTTGTTCAAACATACAGATCGGATAGAAAAGTTTTGAAAAACCGACTTATTTCTTTACTTTATAAAACGAATAGTTTATTTAAAACATTTTTATTTAATCAGAACTACACTAAGGTAGGTAGAGAAGGGGCCCAAACGCTTTTTTCGTTTCAAAATTGTTAATATAAAGTGTAATTTGTGATGACCATTTCAGAAAAAATAAGCTTACAATTCTTAAAAATATTAATGTAGAAGCGGATCAAGTTTGTTTATTAACAGTTTTATTCTTATTTATTTTAAAGAAAAGACAAAATACCGCATCAGCATCAAAAAAGAAAACTATAACTCCTCCTCGGTAAGTGTTATGGCTCAATTATCTTCTGCACTTAATTTATAGCTTAATTCAAATCTTAATATTATGCATTTCTTATATTTTCAATTCTTAAGTTTACTGAGTTTTAATTTTTTCCTACTAAGTTAAATTCTCTCATAACTAAAACTGCGTTATAACTTTTTTCGAATGTCTTTCAACATTGTAATGTGTAATGTGTAATTTTATTCATTAATATTGTGAATATGAAATGCATTTTTTATATATTATCAGGGAAAGAGTCGACAATAAAACACCCAAGAAGCTTAAATCTGATGTGGCTGTCAAAAAGGTATGTAAAATGCAATATATTGCTTTTGATTTTTATTATATTTATTCTACTCTGCTCTGCTCTGCTCTGCTCTGCTCTGCTCTGCTCTGCTCTGCTCTGTTTTGTTCTATCTTTTGCTAAATAACTGACTGAATCTTATATATTGACGACTCCATCGTATGCGGGCTTAGCCTAGCCTCGAATGCAGGAGTTGCTTGTTTTGTTATTCTTGTTTCTGCTTCTTTTTCCTCCAATATACTGGAGTTTTAAGAGTTCTCAATAGAGGTTTTGCTCCGTCGCGTGACGGCAGCCACATTCGACGGCAGGAAAAATACAATCGATTTTACACACACACAAAATTTTTTTCCAAGAGCAAAGGAATTTTATTGTTCTGCCATCTAACCACAGGCAGCCCAAGCTGTATTATAGGCGTGGGCACGTGATGGTGCAAAACCTCTATACATATAACTAAACCCTCCCCTTGAGCCGTGATAGCACTTTAACAACACAACATCCTAGTGTGCATTCCATCTTGCTAGAAATACGTTGTATGCGTGATTTACCTAACTATTACTCGTAGGAGGAAGAGGAGGAGTCTGATAGTTCACTAAGCGATAATAGTTTAGGATCAGAACCACAAAGTTCTGAGTATGAAGCTGAAACAGACGAGCTACCCGCAAGTGACTCTGACCCCGAGTGTGTCCTTAAAGAGGATCAGAGCCAGACAGACAAAGGGAACGAAAAACAAGAAATTGTCGATAGTGTCCACGACAATGACCATGGACTTCAATGTGTCCCTGAACAAGCCGATGGTGGAGCAAAATACTCATCGAAAGAAAAAGAGTTGGATGGTTCTGAGCGTAAAGTCGTTAAATGCGAGCCAAATGAGACTGAGACGAGAGGTCCTTCATGTATTCGAGGCTTTAGTGATAACTCAAAGATACATATCAACTTTGTATATGAAACTGAATCTGATGAATTCACATCAAGTCACTACAGCGAAAGTAGCAAGGAGCGATGTGAAGAAAAAGAGGAAGAGAAAAAAGCGGATTTTCCTGCGCAATCGTCCGACAAAAAAGACCAATCTTTGCATGACGCAGAAGAAGAACTTGCTTTGACTGATTGCGAAATAGAAAGCATTGCTGAAGATAGTGACATCGAGCAACAAGATTGTTCTTCAAAACAGAACAACAACCTTAGTGACAGGTCAACCACAGAGATAGCAAATAACACAGAAGAGAATGTCTTGCAGAATCATGTCAAAACATCATTGAAAGCTGCAAAAGAAAGTGGGCAAGCTGCCAAACAGAAAACTTCAAGTGAAGTGATAGGAAAGTCCTTATTGCCCCTGTCACATGAAGGCGATGGCAAGGACACGGTTTCTGACAAAAACCAAAGTGAAGATTCAGACGATTCCTTCTTTGGCATAAACGTTGCAAAGTTTTATGTTAGAAATACTACAGGACAAAGTGCGACGTACAAGGCAGAGGACATGGAGCCAAAAGATAATACCTTTGACATCGAAAGAAAAGATCTACAAGGTGATTATGATGGCGATTACCTAGCAAATAATTGCGAATCCAACGGAAATAAATCGTATATCCTGAACGCTATAAAGGATGAAATCTGTGCTGGTCTTTCACAAGATCCCGAAAGTGTCAATGAGAATGATGAGGGCAAGATACAAAACAAAGGCAACACGAAATTCGAAGTTATTCAGAATCGCAGAATGCTTGTTGGCTTTGAGCAGATACCATATGAAAATGATAAAGATAAAAAAAAGCTTCTATCGGTAGAGGAAGACCCTTTTGTAACTGAACTGGAGAAGCTGCTTTTATCGGCTGAGACTGATATTGACGAAGATACCAGAAAATGCCAAGCTAGCAATACTTCGAACGTAGCAAAAAAGATTACATCGCTAATTAAGGAAGAATATGTCCCTTATAAACCACCTATTGCTCCAAAACAGCACCCGAAAGAAAGAGTCTTAGGACAAAGCAATGAACTAGACAGCTTTTTAAAGTTTGATGGAGTTGGTGAAAAAGATTCAGAACAGACAAAAGGATGTTCTACGAAGGATAGCTCAACAGCAAAGCCTGAGAAAAGCGTAGAGGACGTTTGTTCATCAGGCGACACCAATGCCGACCTTCTGTTGAGAAAAAAAGTTAAACAAACTTTTGAAGGAATACTTAAGGCTTCCAATGAGTTAAGCAAGCAAGAAGCGACAGCGAGCACAAGTGCGACTTCTAAAACAGAAAGCGCTCAGGCTTCCAATGAGTCAAGCAAGCAAGAAGCGACAGTGAGCACGAGTGCGACTTCTAGAAGAGAAAGCGCTCAGGCTGCTGGACGCAGAGGAAATAGTTTGACCACGTCTGGTATGAGCGGCAGTCGAAATGCCACAGCAGGAGAATCTGGTGATGACGATCCGAATGATCCCAATAAGAGACCTCAACTGCAGAAAGAACCCGATGATATGAAAGATGAAGACACAGAGGAACAAAGACGTAGAGCTGCAAAGAAGGAATTGATCAATCAGATGATGGGGATAACGGATGGTCTTCTGCAGAATGAATTTCAGAGTTTAAGCGAAACTCTCTTCACGCGACGGCAAAGCATAGAAGCAGTAGGAACTCTGGAAACGTTTGATGAAACATTGCCTTCAAGAAAAGGTAACTTGTCAGAAGTGAGCTGTGTTCAAGCTGATGAAGAGCATAATTGGGACAGCTGCACATTAGCAAATATGGAGAACGATGGAGCAATGATCCATGTTTTGACCAATGAAAACACTCTTCTCAAGAAGGAACTTTTAAAATTGAAGTCTGAAGTTAATCAGAAGACAAAAGAGGTCATGGAGACCCGGGACAAAAATAGAACCTACAAAAATGTGATCTCCACAATGGAAGTAGATCTGGAGCTCCTTGAAGGAGAAAAGAACGAACTCACGCAAGAATACAAGGACTTGACAAATGAGGAAATACTGAAAGAATTGAGGAAGTTACACTCTGAAATATCCGAGGCATCGAAAGAACTTGCCTCAGAAGAAGTTTTGGAAAGTGAGCTTAGAGGGCCTACGTCGAGTCCATTGTCAGTGGAGCTTGCAGAGGTGGATGTTTTTAGTCAACAACCTAAAGTGGACGAGACCAATGAAATAGTAACATTGATGCATTCTATCTCAGCTATGACAGAAGAACTCAGAGATCAGATCACCAAGAGTAAAACCAAGCTTGCTAAGGCTTATTCCAACAGTAGTCTTAATGAGCTTGAAGATATGGATGGTGAGAAATTAAGAGAACTTCGTGAGGAGATAGCTGACCTTCAGGAACAGTTAGTCGAAGAACGTACCAAATTCGAAATATTTGAAAACATCTGTAAAAACAGAACCGAAGAAAATAAGAAGCTTCGTGATCGGGTAGCAGATCTAGAAATAGATGTTGCCAGGGCTGAAGGCCGTCTGAAGGAGACTATAACTTACAAAAACCGTGAGTTAGTTAACATCAGAAATAACATGGAGTTAAATGGTAATAAAGTGGACGAGTTGGTACGGGAATTGCATTTGCTGTCAGAAGGAAACTCAGCACTGAAATCTGTGATAGATTCGCTCAACAGCAGAATTCGTTTCAGAGAAAGGAGAGAGACCGAACTGGAAAACATGGTTGACGAATTGACTACAGAAAATGAAAAGTTGTTACAACAAGTTAGCAAAGAAAGGAACAACCTGAAAAACTATCAACGTGCGAACGACCAACGAATAGCAGCACATTCCATGGAAGTTGCACGCATAGAATCCGCACTGCAGGACAAGATTGATGAGTTGGTTGACGTTCTTAGCAGTATAGATAATTTCTATGCTGGTGATGAGCCATTACCGGACCATCCTTGTATGGGAGCGATTGAAAAGGGTATTAAGATACTTTATGATGTTTCTGGGTTGATGAAGGCTATTGGATGTCCTGATTTGCCAAGTGGCAACGAGATAAGTGAAGCAGTTTTACAAGAAACAAAGGAACGACGACAACTAGAAATAATGATTGAAGGTCTGAGACAAGAGGTCAAAAATCTTAAATCTGATAAGAAAAGATTTGAGATGAAGTTGAATACAGGGTGCAGAGAAGACACAGGAAAGGCTGATGAAAGAGATGAAAGAGAGACACAGTTAAGTGAATTGGAGCAACAAATATCCACACTGCAATCCGATAATACTTCCCTATCACAGCTATTGGGTGATGTTAAGGAATTAGCGGCAAAAGATGCAGAAGTTCATCAACTTCAACTTAGCGGACACCTCAATCGTATCAAGGTTCTGCAAGAGGAGAATGACGAGCAGAAAGTCCAAATAAAAACTCTAAACGAAAATTTATTGGATCGTAAAGAAAATAACCAGGCTCTGAAAAATGAGGTGGAGGATTTGCAGCTTGGAAAAGAAGCGCTTCAACAGAAAGTACAAGCGAAAGTAAAGGAGGTGTTGGAGCACATGGCAAAACACGAAACCGTGAGAAAGAAAATTCAGGAAGTCACAGCAGAGAGACAAACATTTCAACAAAAAGTTGAGAAACAGAAAAAAGAGTTGTCTGAGCACCAACTAAAGATCGAATCTTTGACTATTAAGTTAAAGGCAGTAAATGATGAGAAAGAAGATCTTAAACAGAAATTCAGTGGACAAAACGTAGATAACGAAGCTATTGATACAAAACTGGTTAAACCGGTATGTACTGGCGAAGCGGATAGTCAACCGCTTTGCAATTGTGCAATGGCTGGTTCTTCTGACAAAACAAACGATTCACAAGTACAAAATGACGAGTTAAAAGAAAAGCTAGAAGTGTGTGAAACATTCTTGGCACAAGTCAAGACAGAAAAAATGGATTATTTAAAGGCCTTAAAAGAGTCGAGACAAAATGTAAAGATGATGAGAAAGAGTTCTGATGAGCAAATAGCCAAGCTTAAACAAGAGCTGGAGGGCAAAGATCTGTCAGAGAATGAACTTCAAAAGACAATGAAGCTGTTAGAGGAGAAGATTGCAACACTTGAAGATGAAAAAGCTGAAAGTATAAAGCAAATGAAAGGAATAATAGAGGGAATTCAAGGAGAGAATGAATTGGAAGAACGCAAAAAGGAATGTAAAGAACAAGAACTGGAACTGCGAAAATCGATTTCTGAACCAAGGTCTGAGAAAACAGATGCACAGAAGGAACTATTGACCAAGGTCACAGAAAAATTCGAAATTCGCATGAAAGAGTTTGACAAGTGCCTGAAGGACCGTTACGCTCTACAGGAAGAATTGGCCTGTCTGAAGGATTTGCACTTGGAACAGAAGAAGGAGTTGGAATATGTGACCCAGGAAAAACGCAAGATGAAAGAAGAAATCAAGGAGAAAAGAACAGAGGTTAAGTTCATTCGAGAAAGCTCATCCGAAATTATCAATGACTTGGAAAAGCAGCTCAAAGATAGACAGGATTTTGCTTTGGAGATGCAAGAGAAGGCGACATTTTTAAGCCAAAGGGTCGCGCAACTTGAAGCAGAGAAATGTGAGAGTGTTAAGAAGATCGAAGCACTGATGCAGTCTTTGAATGCTAAGGAAGACATTGGTAATCATTTGACAGAAATTAAGAACAGCGAAGAGCTAAGACAAGGTGATATGATGCTTGTTTTGAAGGAGTCAAATGAGAAAGTCCTCTCTTTGGAGAAAGAGCTTGAAGGTCGCAGTGAATCAGAGGCAATGATGCATAACAAGATCTCCTCGCTGGACCTCAGGATGTCAGAGTTGAATGCGGAAAAGGCTCAGAGAGAAAACAAAATGAAAACCTTGTTAGAAGCTCTAAATGCTAAGAAGAACCTAGAAGAAGATGTTCAAAAGAACGATGAAGTGGAGAAGCAGCTTCTCCAGAAAATGGAGGAGATGAAAAGTGAATTATCTAGGTTGAAATTTGCAAAAGAGGACTTGGAACGTCAATTGTTAAGCCAGTTCACATCTCCAGAGCAAAGCCAGAATATCAAAGATGACCCACGTTTTGAAGAGAGTGCTAAACGAGAAACAGAGCTCAAGAATCAGATTAAAAAGCTCTCAGACGAAAAGATCAAAGCAGAAAAAATGTTACACGAAGGGGAATCGCAAAGTCTGTTGGTAATGAAGACTTCAGACGCAAAGATTGAGGACTTGGAAAATCAGCTGAAATGCAAGAGTCTCTCAGAGGTAGAGCTCCAAGAGAAACAGCGCTTGCTTGAGCATAAGATTTTGTTATTAGAAGGCGAAAGGGTTCAGCATAGTAGGAGTATTTCTTCGATTGTATCGAGTCTAAAGGCAAAGAAAGAATTGTGTGAGGCCGTCAAAGCCAGAGACGATGCAGAGAAAAATTACAATATCAAACTCGATGAGATGGAGACGATAGTCAACAAGCTTAGGAAAGAAAAAAGCAAGCATGATTGTGATGTGGATCTGAAGCAAAAGTACAAGGATGAGTACGAAGAATCGCGCCGTCATGTCAAGAAACTAACAGAAGATATCTACAGGTATAATGAACGTGTAGAAGAGTTACAGGCCTTTATTTATGGATGCGAAGAACAAGGAGAGGAATTCGATGAGGTTGATTTGAGTGAAAACATCGAAGACCTAAGGAGTAGCCTTGGAACATCGGATGTTGAGTTGATCCAAACTCAACAAACACTTCAGGCTAAGATTTCTAACTTAGAAGTCGAGAAAGGAGAATTTGAAAGCGTGCTTACAGCGTTGTTGAATTCTATGGAAGCGAAGGAAAAGATTGAATATTGTGTCGAAGCAACGAGAGAAGCAGATAAGAAGGTGGTGAAACAGATGGATGAGATAATAGACACGGTGCAAAGACTTAAAGCTGAAAAAGAATTGGTTGAACAAGAGCTTCATACGTCTGAGAATATTCGAGTTGCGATCGCTTTGGATGCGGAAATGTTACAAACACAGTCAGATGAAAAAATCTCGCTTTTGGAACAAACTTTGAAGGAACGTTTGGAGTCAGAGAAAGATCTCAAGGAACGACTTGAGCTAATGAGGCAAGAACTTGCACGCTTTGAAGGCGAGAAATACCAGGCTGACAAAATCCTTCAGACTATGCTAGCATCTTTACAAAGACGTGAAAAACTTGAAAACTGTTTGAAAGAACAAGAAAGAATTGAAACAGAGTTAAATTCAAACAGTGGAAGAGCGTTGAATTTAGATCGCCAAGAAGTCAAATCGGTGGCCTCTTTAATAGAACTACTGCAATCAAAAGAACAACAGTTTGGACAATGTCAGAAAGAAAAAGAAGAAGCCGAGAAGAGTCTGAAAACTAAAGAGATGGAACTAGAGTTACGGGTAAAGGATGCCGAAAGACAGTCACGTGACTTTGAAGAGTGCTTAAGGGAAAAGAATGAAACATTGAAGAGTTTAGTGGGAGAAATTGAAAAGTTGAAAGCAAATCTTACGGTCATGGAAGAAGAGAAGAAAGATCTTCAAGAAAAGCTGGAGAAGCACGGCAAGGTGTCTGAGGTATGTATGTTGCTTGTTTCACTAGAGATGCAAAAATGAGAATTATGAAGCTAAGAGAAGGGAAGAGTTGGAAAGGACAGAGAAGGGAAAGGAAAGGAAGGGAAGGGAAAGGAAGGGAAGGGAAGAGAAAGGAAAGGTGGCCAACTTACCTACCTTTACAGCGGAACCAAAGAGGCTGTTTGCTCCAATCAGTCACGTGCTTATACTGCTATTCCTTGTCTTTTCTCGCGGGTCGTTGCGATGTAGTGGAACTTATCGTTGATTGGCTTATTTTGCAATGTTTTGACAGATCAACACTGTTTAACGTCAAACGCGCCAGAGAAACGCGATGCTATGTTATGCCTTTAGAAAATATCTTTTTCAAATTTGAACGAAATTATTTCTAAACTTCCTAGGAACGCGAGGAAGAGGTAAATAAGATCATCCAAAGTGAGCAGGATCTTCTACAGAGATTATCTCATGCGGAAAACATCCTCGAACAGTTGAAGGAAGATAAGCATGTTTTGAAAAAACAGCTGAGGCAAGAACGTCTAGAGAGACAAGATGCAAGTAATAGTTACATGGATAAGATCAGCTTCGTATCGAATGCCATTGAACAGAAGCACGCAGACACAGAGAGCGAGCTTCGGCAAGCGATCGATAAATTAAATAGTCAAATTGCTACCATGCAACAAGAGAAGGAAGCGTCCATTGAAGAATATAGAAAGGCCGTAGAGAACTTAAACATGGAGCTCGTGCTTAGATCTAAACGTGAAGCGAAGCTAAGAGAGCAATTGGATGATCTTGAAGATGAAATCACAAACACAAAAACCGAGCTCAAGAAGGAAATAAAGCTGCAGGAAGAGAAGGAGAAGGAGATTGAGAATCTAAAAGGTGAACGAAAGATTTTGTCTGAAAATGTGACAAAAATGGAATCCAAGTTGACGAAAGAGCTGGAAAAGTTATCGCAACGCGAGACAGAACTTAAAGAAGAGAAAGAGACTGAAATCAAGAGGTTAAAATCAGAGAATAATGCGGTGCTAGAAAATTTGAAGACCAAGATGCTAAAATTGGAAACCGAACTGGAGTATCAAGTGAAAAATGAGGCGGCACTTCGTGAGGAAAAAGCGAAAGTTTTAGAAGAACTCAAGTTACAGGATGACATTAAAACGGAAGTAGATCGACTGAAGTCAATTATCAAGACTATTGAAGGTAGGAAAAAATTACGTTTTTTAAAAAATTATAGCTGATTACATTCTGCATTTCGATTGGTTACGTAGGCACGAGTGAAAAACGTCTGCGCATGCTCCACTTCTGAATGCAAATAGAGGCTTTGCAACATCCCGTGATGGCAGCCTTGACAGGAGGCAGGAACAATTGAATTTGGTCTAATCTGATTTACTTGAGAAAAAATTCAGTTTCCCGCAGAGGGAAAAGACTATTGTTATTCCTCCTGTCATGGCTATCGTCTTGTGATGGCGAAAGCTTCTATTAGTCGCACTTTATTCACATGCAATGTGGCGTCCACTTATAGAGCAGTTTTCGCATGACTGTGAAAAGCCCAGTGCCGTAAGCGTACCGTGCGTTACCGTGATGTTTTAATTGGCTGATTTTTTTTCTCGCGCAATGTGATTGGTCTGAAAGTGCGATGACCTTGGCGTGACCGTGTCCGTGCCGTGTTTATACCGTGTTCTGGGTATTTTATTGGATGCAATAATGATGTGATTGGTCTGGCGTATCCCTTGCCGTGTCACGTCCGTGTTCGTGCCGTGAGCTTTTCACAGTTATACGAAAACTGCTCTATTGAACCAGAGACTTGACGTAGCCTTCAATGTGCCACCCTTTCCATGCAATGGCAGATCCACGGGTGGGCATGGTTCCATTGAACCCCCTTTGTAAGATCTCGTGAAGACGATTATGTAATTTTACACCCAGTAAAATTAAATTGGAAACCTCATTTCGTGAAGCCAATCACGGCAGCTTTTAATGTGCAGCGGCTATTTTGGAACTCACTTTTTAAAAGTCCTGAATCTGACACTGCCATGCACCCATAAATTGTGATTCGATGTACTTTTGCCTTGCAGAGGAATGCCGAAGGCTAAGAGAAGAACGCAGCGACTTGCAATCTGAAGCAGCAAGAAGTGCGCAAACATCGAGGGACACAATTACAAGACTGCAAGAAGACCTGAAGAATCAAAATGACAACAATGAGAACCTCCAGACCATGGTGAACGAAATAAAGTCGAAGGAATCTTGCTTCCTCGAGGAAAAACGTAGACATGAACAGGAAATATCTGACTGCGAAGGAAGGATAATGAAACAAAAAGAGTACCTTGAAAAATCCCTGCGAAAACTCAAGAAGCAAAAAGAACACGAGCAACGTATGAAAGACGATCTTACATCTCAAGTGAACGAATTGAGCCTAGAAATCACCCGCTTGCTAGAGGTGAAACACATGCAAGAGGAAGAAAAAGCCGAATATGAGAGCAATATTCGACGTCTGAAGGTTCATATTGAGAGCCTAGAAACTCAAATCAATTATCAAAAGAATGAGTTGGTGGAGTCACAAGTTAGGATTTCAGTGCTTGAGGATTTCAAGGTAGGAAAACGTCAAAGCATTTAGAACGGGGTCCACCGTGTCTGTATGACTGTGAGGGTCCTGGAGAGGTAAAATGGGAGCTTCGCTTCGCCTTTTTTGGTCTAGGAAAGTGGGATTTTATGTTCTTGGAATGGAATTCACAAACAAAACAACAATCAAAAATGGGAATGGGATTGAGATTTTAACAAAACATAGACTAAGACTATGAGATTTGGTCCAAATTGGGGCTGGAAATGGGAATAGCACTCTGTAGGACCCTGGACTATGAAAAGTTTGCGGCACGAAAGCGAAACAAATATATTGTCAATCAATATTTTAGAAACCATCACGGTTGCCGCAGGCTTGCGGTCGCTCTGAAATGAGCGTGTCACAGAATCGTTCTTGTTGTCAACAAAAATGTAACCTTAGTTACATGCAATTATTTAGTCAATTTATGTTTCGTCACGCGTTTTAGGTCCAGAGCGATGCTGAACATGAAAGACGACAACAAGAGGCTGTCTCTGAATGCAAAAGAGCCAACGCAAAGATAGATGAACTTCGCAAAGAACTTCACCTTGATCTAAAGAGCACGTCTGTCTTGGAAAATGAGATCAAAACTTTGAAAGGAAAAACAGCCGAAATCAACCAAAAAACTGAAAGCCAGAAATCAGAGATAGCGAATCTTTACCGTCTTTCCAAGGGAAAAGTAAACAAAGATGACGAACAAATAGAGAAGCTTAAGAAAGGCAGCGAAGAGCTAAGGGGACAGGTTCTTTGTCTGCAAGAAGAGAAGGAAAGTCTTGCCAGCACTATGGATGCATTTCAGTTGTTTGTTGCGAGGCATAAAATAGAGATGGAGCGACTAGAGAACAAGATCAAAGAGCAAGAAGGGAAGATGAACGACTGCCAGACGCAGAGCTTTGAGAACACTCAGGGTATTGAGGTAAGTTGCTCATGCAAAAAAAAAAATTCTTTCCTTTTTATCAGATTTTTCCTTTGTTGCGCGTTTCTCTGTTGTGTTTAAAGGTCTTTTGCATTTATTCAGTGTTTTTTGATCTCAGTTTCAAAACCTTGATAAGTCTAGCTAGAAATGATGGGTCCTTGGTATGAAGAATGGCTGTAACGCTTACTTAATTATGGTGGAAAGGAGGAAGAAAGAAAGAAAAAAAGAATGAATGAACGAACGAGATGGAAGGACTGTGCGGCGTGTGGTAATCTTATAGGTTTTTGAATCTTTTCTTTCTTTCTTTCTTTCTTTCTTTCCGAAGAAAAAACCTCACTGCCATCTGTCTGCAACGCCCTGTCTTGTCATACCCTCTCCTGCCGTGCTCTGTCATATCATATGCACTTTTCTTATAATTGGTAGAAATAGTAATCCTTGTGTTTCATATATTGTTCATAGGTCTTACAGAGTTCCCTGGATAACTCAGAAAGGCTTAGGAATACTTGGCATTTCTACAACGATTTCAAAAAATGGTATCATAGCACTCAGTCTGTCCAGAGGCCTTACTCAAGGATGGGTTCGTGTAGGACTACTACTAGATTCCATTAGTCAGGAGACAATAGTAAGTATTCTTCACCTATGCAAATTTTTGATTATCATTATCATTAACAACTTTTTCATCACAAAAAAATCTGTCTTCTTGATATCTTTATTATCATTTTCATGGAAATTATCATTATCATCATTATCATCACAATCATTTTCATTCAAGTATCTAGTCGTTCTAGCGCTTTCGCATTAATTGGGGACACTTTTCGCTCACTCTCACTACCACTACATTTAATATTCTATGCACACAATGCTCAACTCACATGTTGATTTTTAAGAATTATCAACGTCATCATCATCAGCATCACAATCATCACTATCACCATCATCATCACAACCATCAACATCATCGTCACCACCATCACTACCATCATCATCGTCATCATCACATCATCATCATCACCATCATCATCACCATCATTATCATCATCACCATCATCAGCTCATCATCATCATCACCATCATTATTATCAACATAATTATTATCATTTTCATCGTCATTATCTGTCCTAATCACCCTAATCATATCTCATCCTAATCATTGTCATCATCATCACCATCTTAATAATTATTATATATCTATTGATTTCACTTATTTGTTTATCTTTAGGTGCAGTCCGCCAGTGACAACGTGGGTGTGGTATGCCTTGTTCATTAACATGTTCTTATCGTCATAATATTTGTATTATTCATTCAAACAAGTTGTCATAATATTATTATTAATTCAAAGACACAGACCCTCACTTTCATAAAATACAATTTTTTTTTTCATTGTAAAACTGAGGACTTAGATATATTAACTTCCGTTAAAAATACGCTTTTTTGTAGATACTCATAAGACGGACATGGAAAAACCACTTATTTTCACAGTTGTAAATAGTAATATATCTTGGCGCTATAAAAATGAAATAGTAAAATGGGATGGGAGTGAAGGCAAGGGAAAAAAACGAGGCCTTAGAACGCAGGGTACCATTGTACCAAAGTACAATGTCGCAATCATGGAGGATAGTTTTGGATGCTATTTTCACGAATCTCTTCCAATGAAATGAAAATAGTGTAGTTTTATGACCATGATTGGCATAGATGGTGTTTGAAGGCCGCCTCGAATAAATTTTATATAAATTTCATCTAAATAGATATCTAAACCCCAGCGTTAGCGTAATAAAAGATGTGTCTTCTAAAACTTGCATGATGTTGGTGTTTTTTTTAAAAGAATCATTAGCACAACTAATGAAAGGAAAGTAAGAAAAGAAGGAATGGAAAAATACGCAGCTTGAAGAAGAGTTTCTAGGATTGTAATTCAGATATTTATTAGTATCTTTACAGCTACTCAGTGGGCAGTATTCGGGCTTCAATCGCGTGAGTCAGTAGAGCCTAAAGGAAAATACGACTTTCAGTCTTTTTAGTTAATAAGATATATACATGAATATATCGTCAAATTTTACGCGGTAATCAATTAGAGCTGGTAATTATTTGAATCCATTTACTAACCGAGTTTCACAGTTTTACTTCACTGGTTTGGATATTTAAAAAGACAATATTTGAAGAATATAATCAATAATGGAGAGATCGAGAACTTCAGAACGGTTAGCGAAAAAAACCATTTAAACATATTTTTAAATGAATTAATGTCGCTTGTTTGGCCTGTACACGGTTCTTACGGGAATTACATTTTTATTTTGTCTAATTTTTGGGTCGGTGTATGGGATAGGGAGGGGAGGACAGGACTGCAGTCCCCCCCCCTCCCCCCCACAATTTTAAAAACTGCGTTCCACCGTCTTTGGAATTACAAGTTTTCAACAGAATTATTTTTGGCTGACTTTACGTGCACATGATCGATATCGTCAGTGTTTGGCCAACATTTAGGGCAAATAGGGCAGCTATTGATTAGCGAGCTCGCTAGCCGATTTCAAACCCAGCAATATTTCTTATCTCTTGGGTTCCCTGTGGATTAATCCGGTAGCGTAGCGCCGGGTACTAGGCGCCAGAGTAACCCTTAGTAATGGCGTCCAAAAACAACAAAATCACTATTTAGACTTTAAATTATTATTTCTAACCTAAAAAAGCCTCACATCTTATCAAAAATACCTCGAACAGATCCTCTTATTATTCTTTTTTCCACTGTGTATCGGAGAAATGGCGTCGAAAAAGAGTTTTTCTACTGGATCGCTTGGGAATACTCGACCAACATCAGCTAAAGGAACTCGAACAAGTGGGACGAAGGGAAAATTATCTTCACGTTCTAATATTAGCAATGCTGTGAGTAAAATACCATGGTTAGATAAATATTTGATGTTCTTATGCGGAGTTTAGGTTGTATTTGTACGTGACATATAAAAAATTTAGAAGAAAAATAGCGAACTTTGTGTAATAATTTTTTGAACTTGTATTTTGAAGCCTAAGGGAAACCTGTTTGTTCCTTTAGTTCTCCTCTTTTAAGAATAAAATAAATTAATTTGAAAATAATAATTGTGTCATGAAAAGTATAGGGGGAACAGTTTAATTATTAAACCAAGTGTTTCATATGTTTTGAGAACGCTATTTAAAATTTTATAGACTTAATCAAGCTTACGATAAAATAATTAACTATTTATATTTTAAGATAAAGTTACTTTAAAAATATTTCTCGTTTTTTTTTTCATACAAGCTTTTAGCTAATTTTAGTTAGTTACTTAGTTAGAGTGCAAACGATATAACCATGAAACATTAGTAATACTAATTAATAGCACAATTTCATGCAAATTCCATTGTTTTCTATTGTTCAATTAGCACTATTTTGTACTATTTAGTAATTAGTGTTTCACAGATTAATTGTTTGCTCTCTAGCTAGACAGACTTATTATAAGTTGTTTTATTTAAAGTTAATAGTTAAAATCTATTGTATTTTTTTGATCTGTTTTATGTAGGACTCAGAGTTTAGTGACTTATCGATTACTGGAAGCCAAAAGAAGGTAGCCAAGAAAACAGAACAACACAGGAATGGTATGTACAGTACAATAGTGCTAGTTGTTGTATACAAAAATTAGCATTATCATGTTAATTTGCCTACTATATTGATGGGTTGCAAGCATTCCCAAGAGAGTTAAAAGACAAAAACATGGCAGCCATTGTGGTACTGTTAACAATGGATGCTAATGAGAAATCTTTTTTTAAATGGTACCAACATGGCCGCGATGACATAACGTGCATTAGCATTATCATGTTAATTTGCCTACTATATTGATGGGTTACAAGCATTCCCAAGAGAGTTAAAAGGCAAAAGCATGGTGGTCATTGTGGTACCGTTAACAATGGATGCTAATGAGAAATCTTTTGTTAAATGGTACCAACATGGCCGCGATGACGTAACGTGCAAAGAATTATCACAATTCTTTGTTTTCACATTACCTCATCTGGTGGACTTTAACAAAAGATTTCTCATTAGGGATTTTTGTACCAGTCCACCAGCATGGCCAGCATGTCTTTTTCTTTTGATCCTATTGGGAATGGTTGAAAACCACCAATAGATCTTGTCAAGTTGCTTTGTGTTATCAGTGAATAGGTGCTTGGCATAGTAACAACAATAGCTTATGTCACCGATAGTGCTATACAGTGTAGATGTACTTTTGCTTGGGCATAAATGTTCTCCCTTTTCATACAGTACCACATATTCTCCTGAGAATAACATTGTATGGTTCCAGAAATTACCCTCCCCCAGAGGCATTTGGAATTTCTTAGGAGTGGGGGTCAGAGAAAGAAAAATTGGGAATGAGGGGGTATGGATAAATTCTGTAACTACGCATTCTTTTTTTGAGTTGTATCCATATTCATGTGTCTTCTCATACAAAACTAATAAACAAAGCAATGATACTCTAGAGAATGACATGTGGTCTAATGAGAAAACATTCTATTGTTCTTGTCGTATAGATGTAAGATCTAGTGTACCTGGTAGACCATTATCTGATATGGCTGGCAGTGATAGCGACAGAACTACCAGCAGCTCAGGAGCAAGAAGTAAGACGTACAATGTGAATGAACAAGGAAACATGAGGTAACATTTATAGCAAGTGCCATAGACACTAGAGAAAAACATTTGCGCATGCGTTCATTTCAGCACGTTTTCTAAGAATTTTGAAGAGTTTGAGCAAGAAAATAAATGATTGTTTTCTCCAAGTATACAAAAAAGTTCGAGAGTATACTTTTGTCGGACCAAGATACTGTATTAACAAACACAATATGAAAGAATTAGTCTTAAGTTTCAAGCATGGACACTAAGTTTTGGCATTTTGTGAAGTCCAATTGACCTAATTCACTATGACGTCACTGCTTGTTTATGTCAGGGATAGAATCGCCAAATCCAATAGAAAATTCAACTAAATTTACTCCTAGCAAAACAGTTTAATCTAAAATGGCCTGGTTTTCAGATATAATATGTGTTAATATATACTAAAAAATATTCTGAGTGTTTGCTGGCTATTCTACTTCACTTCGTGGAATGATACGGGATTTAGAACAATTTTCAGTTAGTTTGCGTTGATTTGACCCCGGCAGACGACCACGATCCTTTGCGTTTAAACAATAGATTGTTGAATATTGTTTTGATGTGACGTCATAGTGAAGTAGGGCAATTATCAGACATGTTTGAAAGTCAAATTTACATGTACTTATGTTTTGACTAATTTGCATACGGATTCAGAGCATGCGCAGACATTTTTAACTCGTGTCAGTGCCATGAATAAGAATTTATCAAGTTCATGTTAAGAGGATCTTATACAAATCTTGGATTTTGAATGATTGAAATGTCTTTTTTGATTATTTTTTTGGCAAAGCATCTAGCACAATTGTTTATATATTACTTTACAATGTGTGCAATACGATGATATCACTACCAAAAAAAAAAAAAAACTTTAAAAAACAAACTTGTCATTGCTTATCACCAACGCAAGTACAGCAGTGGTGCAGTTCAACGGGGTCAAACTGAAAGCATGTGAAGGCACCTCTGGCAGCCGCTACATGCATACAGTCCATGTATGACCCCAGAGCACAGCTCTAACCAGTTTGAATTACATGTAGTTAGGGTTGATTTTGAGACGAGGGAGGAAAAACCAAAGGACCGGAAAAACCCTTGGAGTCAGAAAGAGAACCAACCAACTCAGCTCACATGGGGTGGCTGGGATTCAAGCCCCGGACCTCAGAGGCAAGCATTTTACCACCCCACCATTCTGACTCCCCAAGAATCAGAATCCCTTAGACATCAATACAGTCATTACAAGTTGTCTTACTCTTATCAAAGATATTAATTTGAATAAGAAAGAAAATTTGCAAAGAATATTGGTATTGGTGTGGAAAAAAATATTGTTATATTTCTTCCATTATTTACAAGGTATTCAGAAGGGAAAACCTCTTCTGGAAGACCAAGGTCAAAACACAAGAGAGATTTAGCTTCAGTCTTTAAGGTAAAAGTGCAAAAGAGCTTTTCAATATGATTATACAATTACTGTATTACAATACAATGTAAAGGTAGGAATTATTTTAACATGTAGAGCTTTTATGAGTTGTGACATAATATTTCCAGGTCTAACTGCTCACAAAAAACACTAAAATACTAAGGCAGAAATTTTTATCGGTCAATGATATAACCTGAAACACCGATAACTTTGGGCACCAAAACCTGTCAAAGAAAACATTAGAAAAATCTTTATGAAACTGCTTTTCAAAAGACCCTTTTTGAGTTCCAAATTACCCCTGTGTTTCTTGATTACAGACTCATTTACTCAGGCTAAGCCTCGATTTTGTGAAGAATATTCACGTTTTCCAGTCAAGGTCCGTCAAGTTTCAAAGTGTTTGTATTGTTGAAGTTGTGCACTCTTTACTTTACCATTGGTATTTGCGAGTAATTAGACACTGATTCGAGGCTAAGCCTGAGTAAATGAGTCTGTAATCAAGAAAGACAGTGGTTTTTTTGGAATTCGAAACTGGACTATTCAATATGTCACACTTAAAGCTCCATTCACAAGGATAAGAAGATGCTCCAACCCCCCTCCCCCCCCCCCCNACAAAAAAAACACATTTTACTTCAATTAATAAAGTGAGGTCCAAGGACTTTTAGAAAGTCTACAAATACTTCTTGTGCTCAAAACTAAAAGAAAAAGAAAAGAAAAAATTCCTTATCAAAACATTATTCACATGTTTATAAAAACTAAACAGTGTTTTTTTGTTGATTAAATTAGAATAAACCACCTGATCTTGACTCATGTAGACCAGAGAGTGACCAACTACCTACAGAGGATATTGATGACTGGTGGCCAGGATCTAATCATGTTCCAAAAGTCCCTCCTTTACATAATCTTATCTCTCCATCTGAAGAAAAAGACTACAATTGGTGGGATAACTTAAATGACGATCAACCACATGATGCGGCCCAAAATCATTGGCCAAAAGATATGCAACACGATCCTCTTGTTGATGCTCTAAATGACATGCTTAATTCTCCTGCCAACGAAGGGAATAAAAATGACCATGGGATTATTGAAGGGGAATCGAAGGAAAGCCCAGTACCCAAGCTAAAGTTTGGTAACTTATCTGAGGATGATTCCGGTAGCGTTAAGCAAAATGCCGCAGCAATAATGATACAGAAATGGTACCGCGGTTGGAGTGTCCGACGGAAGACAGGGAAATCTGCTGTTAAACGTATTTTGGGTCAAAAAAAGGTTCAAAAGGAAAGACAGTCTTTTGATCATTTAGGCTCAATGGTAAGAATTGAAAAAAGAGGATATATCTCAATAAATTTTATAATAATAATATTTAACAATTATTTCCTGAAGGCAAAGGGATTATCAGTGAATATTTCCTGAGCCGCAAGTCTTTGAGTGGCAAGGTAAATATTCACCGTAATCACTTAGCCAGAGGGGAATAATTGTCCATGACCCCTTGCACCAAAGCCTTGAATTGTTGAGAGGATGATGCCTTAGCAGCATACTCTATAACTTGTCTTACAAATGAATGTTTGCGGTATTTGCTAGGAAGCAAAAGAAGCAGAGAAAGCCAAAAGACGTGAAGAAAAAGCAAGATTAGCAAGACAAGCAGCTATCAAAGAACTACAAAACAAAAGAGAAGAAAAAAGACAAGAAAACCAAAGAAAAGCAGAGGAAGAAATAGTAAGTTGATAATAATAATCATCATCATCATCACCATCATCATCATCTTCAACATCATCAACATCATCATCTTCAACATCATCAACATCATCATCATCATCTTCAACATTATCAACATCATCATCATCAGAATCACCATCAACATCATCACCATCATCATCATTAGAATCACCATGACATCAAGACCA